CAACCACCCAGGGAAGTACTACCGTCCTGCCAGATGACTGTGAAACAGAAACCTGTAACTGTTTTGCATGATGGTAGGATTGCTGGTTTCTTTTTCTGTCTCGTAAACACGCTAGATAACAGGGATATCTTGCTACTCCTACTTACACTTTGGTCACACTTCACAGACACGCACATGTATATATATATATATACATAGATCTAAATAGCTCTTGTTCTTCTTTATTTCTTCTATTGTCCATGGGGAAGTGGAAAAGAATCTTTCCTCCGTAAGCAATGCGTGTCGTATGAGGCGACTAAAATGCCGGGAGCAATGGGCTAGTAACCCCTTCTCCTGTATACAATTACTAAAAAAAGAGAAGAAGAAAAACTTTATAAAACTGGGTTGCTTAAATGTGCGTGGATGTAGTGCGGATGACAAGAAACAGATGATTGCTGATGTTATGAATGAAAAGAAGTTGGATGTCCTGGCCCTAAGCAAAACAAAGCTGAAGGGGGTAGGAGAGCTTCAGTGGGGGGAAATAAATGGGATTAAATCTGGAGTATCTGAGAGAGTTAGAGCAAAGGAAGGGGTAGCAGTAATTTTAAATGATCAGTTATGGAAGGAAAAGAGAATATGAATGTGTAAATTCAAGAATTATGTGGATTAAAGTAAAGGTTGGATGCGAAAAGTGGGTCATAATAAGCGTGTATGCACCTGGAGAAGAGAGGAATGCAGAGGAGAGAGAGAGATTTTGGGAGATGCTAAGTGAATGTATAGGAGCCTTTGAACCAAGTGAGAGAGTAATTGTGGTAGGGGACCTGAATGCTAAAGTAGGAGAAACTTTTAGAGAGGGTGTGGTAGGTAAGTTTGGAGGTGCCAGGTGTAAATGATAATGGGAGACCCTTTGATTGAACTTTGTATAGAAAGGGGTTTAGTTATAGGTAATACATATTTTAAGAAAAAGAGGATAAATAAGTATACAAGATATGATGTAGGGCGAAATGACAGTAGTTTGTTGGATTATGTATTGGTAGATAAAAGACTGTTGAGTAGACTTCAGGATGTACATGTTTATAGAGGGGCCACAGATATATCAGATCACTTTCTAGTTGTAGCTACACTGAGAGTAAAAGGTAGATGGGATACAAGGAGAATAGAAGCATCAGGGAAGAGAGAGGTGAAGGTTTATAAACTAAAAGAGGAGGCAGTTAGGGTAAGATATAAACAGCTATTGGAGGATAGATGGGCTAATGAGAGCATAGGCAAAGGGGTCGAAGAGGTATGGGGTAGGTTTAAAAATGTAGTGTTAGAGTGTTCAGCAGAAGTTTGTGGTTACAGGAAAGTGGGTGCAGGAGGGAAGAGGAGCGATTGGTGGAATGATGATGTAAAGAGAGTAGTAAGGGAGAAAAAGTTAGCATATGAGAAGTTTTTACAAAGTAGAAGTGATGCAAGGAGGGAAGAGTATATGGAGAAAAAGAGAGAGGTTAAGAGAGTGGTGAAGCAATGTAAAAAGAGAGCAAATGAGAGAGTGGGTGAGATGTTATCAACAAATTTTGTTGAAAATAAGAAAAAGTTTTGGAGTGAGATTAACAAGTTAAGAAAGCCTAGAGAACAAATGGATTTGTCAGTTAAAAATAGGAGAGGAGAGTTATTAAATGGAGAGTTAGAGGTATTGGGAAGATGGAGGGAATATTTTGAGGAATTGTTAAATGTTGATGAAGATAGGGAAGCTGTTATTTCGTGTATAGGACAAGGAGGAATAACATCTTGTAGGAGTGAGGAAGAGCCAGTTGTGAGTGTGGGGGAAGTTCGTGAGGCATGTAGGTAAAATGAAAGGGGGTTAAGGCAGCCGGGATTGATGGGATAAAGATAGAAATGTTAAAAGCAGGTGGGGATATAGTTTTGGAGTGGTTGGTGCAATTATTTAATAAATGTATGGAAGAGGGTAAGGTACCTAGGGATTGGCAGAGAGCATGCATAGTTCCTTTGTATAAAGGCAAAGGGGATAAAAGAGAGTGCAAAAATTATAGGGGGATAAGTCTGCTGAGTATACCTGGTAAAGTGTATGGTAGAGTTATTATTGAAAGAATTAAGAGTAAGATGGAGAATAGGATAGCAGATGAACAGGAGGCTTTAGGAAAGGTAGGGGGTGTGTGGACCAGGTGTTTACAGTGAACATATAAGTGAACAGTATTTAGATAAGGCTAAAGAGGTCTTTGTGGCATTTATGGATTCGGAAAAGGCGTTATGACAGGGTGGATAGGGGGGCAATGTGGCAGATGTTGCAAGTGTTATGGTGTAGGAGGTAGGTTACTGAAAGCAGTGAAGAGTTTTTACGAGGATAGTGAGGCTCAAGTTTAGAGTATGTAGGAAAGAGGGAAATTATTTCCCAGTAAAAGTAGGCCTTAGACAAGGATGTGTGATGTCACCGTGGTTGTTTAATATATTTATAGATGGGGTTGTAAGAGAAGTAAATGCGAGGGTCTTGGCAAGAGGCGTGGAGTTAAAAGATAAAGAATCACACACAAAGTGGGAGTTGTCACAGCTGCTCTTTGCTGATGACACTGTGCTCTTGGGAGATTCTGAAGAGAAGTTGCAGAGATTGGTGGATGAATTTGGTAGGAGTGTGCAAAAGAAGAAAATTAAAGGTGAATACAGGAAAGAGTAAGGTTATGAGAATAACAAAAGATTAGGTGATGAAAGATTGAATATCAGATTGGGGGAGAGAGTATGGAGGAGGTGAATGTATTCAGATATTTGGGAGTGGACGTGTCAGCGGATGGGTCTATGAAAGATGAGGTGAATCATAGAATTGATGAGGGGAAAAAGAGTGAGTGGCACTTAGGAGTCTGTGGAGACAAAGAACTTTGTCCTTGGAGGCAAAGAGGGGAATGTATGAGAGTATAGTTTTACCAACGCTCTTATAGGGTGTGAAGCATGGGTGATGAATGTTGCAGCGAGGAGAAGGCTGGAGGCAGTGGAGATGTCATGTCTGAGGGCAATGTGTGGTGTGAATATAATGCAGAGAATTCGTAGTTTGGAAGTTAGGAGGAGGTGCGGGATTACCAAAACTGTTTGTCCAGAGGGCTGAGGAAGGGTTGTTGAGGTGGTTCGGACATGTAGAGAGAATGGAGCGAAACAGAATGACTTCAAGAGTGTATCAGTCTGTAGTGGAAGGAAGGCGGGGTAGGGGTCGGCCTAGGAAAGGTTGGAAGAGAGGGGGTAAAGGAGGTTTTGTGTGCGAGGGGCTTGGACTTCCAGCAGGCATGCGTGAGCGTGTTTGATAGGAGTGAATGGAGACAAATGGTTTGTAATACTTGACGTGCTGTTGGAGTGTGAGCAAAGTAACATTTATGAAGGGGTTCAGGGAAACCGGCAGGCCGGACTTGAGTCCTGGAGATGGGAAGTACAGTGCCCGCACTCTGAAGGAGGGGTGTTAATGTTGCAGTTTAAAAACTGTAGTGTAAAGCACCCTTCTGGCAAGACAGTGATGGAGTGAATGATGGTGAAAGTTTTTCTTTTTCGGGCCACCCTGCCTTGGTGGGAATCGGCCAGTGTGATAATAAAATAAATAAATAAAATAACTCTACCATACACTTTACCAAGTATACTCAGCAGACTTATCCCCCTATAATTTTTGCACTCTCTTTTATCCCCTTTGCCTTTATACAAAGGAACTATGCATGCAACTAATGTGATATTTTATTGTGGCAACATTTTGCTCTCCAGAACTTTTGTCAAGCCATTACTTGCATTTGTGTCCATTTACCTAACATTTTGTTGGTAATACTACCACTACTACCAGTAGTGGATTATTATCATGAGGAAGTGCTTGCCCCACTGGGTATCATGCTATGACTCAGGAATGAAGAGTAATCATGTTATACCCAAGGAAGGGGAAACAATAACAATTCCTTGGATCAAGAGTCCTTCATCAGCATCAAGGCATCCCCTCCCTTCCCCTTCCCTGAAGGAATCATAATAAGTGGAAGTGAGTTGCCCATGGAATTTGATGTGCTGTTAGAGTGCAAGCAAGGTAATGTTTATGAAGGGATTCAGGAAAAAACAACAAGATAAATGGAAAGTACAATGCCTGCAATTTCAAAGTAAATTTGTGATGTTGCAGTTTGGTGGGTCAGCAATTGACCATGATTTCTATGCCATTAGGAGGAGGTACGGGATTACCAAAACTATTATTCAGAGGGCTGAGGAGGGGTTGTTGAGGTGGTTTGGACATGTAGAGAGAGTGGAACAAAATAGAATGACTTTGAGGGTGTATCAATCTGTAATGGAGGGAAGGTAGGGTAGGTGTCGGCCTAGCAAAGGTTGAAGGGAGGGGGTAAAGAAGGTTTTGTGTGCGAGGGGCTTGGACTTCCAGCAATCATGCGTGAGCATATCTGATAAGAGTGAATGGAGACAAATTGCTTATAAAACTTGACATGCTGTTGGAGTGTGAGCAAATTAACATTTATTAAGGAATTCAGGGAAACCGGCAGGCTAGACTCGAGTCCTAGAGATGGGAAGTACAGTGTCTGCACACTGAAGGAAGGGTGTTAATGTTGCAGTTTTATAACTGTAGTGTAAGCACACCTCTAGCAAGACAGTGGTGGAGTGAATGATGATGAAAGTTTTTCTTTTTTGGGCCACCCTGCCTTGGTGGGAATCAGCCGATGTGTTAATAAAAAAAAATAATAATTCTATGCCATTCTAGAGAAGCAGCCAGAGAATGAGTGAAAGTGAATAGGTTTCCTTCTGTAGGTCACTCTACCTTGGATGAAAATGACCAATGACTTACATGGTTACTTTGAATTTCATTGGCTACAATTTCCAATTCTCCATTTGTATTTGTTTAATGTGGTGTCTTAAGAAATAGAAGATAAATATGGCTCAAAAATTATATAATAATTATTAGTCTTTTAACATGCTGGCCATCTCCCACTAAGGCAGGGTGACCCCCCCCCAAAAAAAAAAACTTTCTCCATTATTAGGATATCTATATATAAAAAGGTTAGAGGCCATTACAATGAAACAGGTCTTACATCCTTGCCAGTATAACTGCCATGTCCCTGACCTCGTCCACGGCCCCGTCCTCTGGGATTTCTATTTCCACGATTCCAGCCCCTCTGATGTGTCTTATCCCCACCATGACCAGTGTTCTCTTCATACTTCTGCTCATTGTGGCCTACATATGATGGAGATTTTCCCTTGCGACCTGACCCAACTCGCACAAATTTTCCTAAAAATTCAAAAACACATTAAATGCAACCTGGCATGGAATAAATGCATCTTAACGTTATTGTTGGGGAATTTTTCTTGACTTCATGGTGTTTATACTTTTAAAAGCACCTTTTACATTCAACTATTTCAGAGATTATGACAGAAAAAATTTCCTTTTATAGCAACACCAAACCAATCTTATGTTCATACTATCTGAAACAGATGGAAATGAAAATAGTTCTGAAAAATGTAAACACAAGCCATGATGCAATAGTAATATAGAAATAATCACATTAGCAGTGTGTTATTGGAATCCAAACACTGGGAGCTCAGCAAAACAGTGTGGGATTGAACATCTACAGGGTGCAGACCTACCTGCATTGACAACAGAGTGCCCCCATGCTCCTAGGTTTTTTAATTTCTCATTTCTTCATTAAAAAATAAGTGGAATGTACCTCTATAGTACAGTACAGTACTTACATTTGTACATCACAGTATATGAAAAAACTATTTTCCTCATATGTTTATATTATGACTTATGGACACTGGCTGCTTCACTGAGGAAGGAATTTGCAAATACCAAAGCTTATTTTCAGCACATTCACGAGAAAATGTAGTGCATTCACATTTCATGAAGCAAAACTGTGAATGTTAGTACCTCTGTGCCCAGATCTACCTATATGTTATAGTCTTCCATTTCATATAAAAAGAATTTATAGGAACTGTACCTAATTTTCCAATATCTTAAAAAATTCTTTTCAACAACTTGCACTCAAATTACAGGCTTCTTCTTACAAATTAGTATCTAATACAATACAATAATACATAAAATTTTATATATGTATTGCCAAGTGCTTCTCCTTCATCCTTACCGGCAGTGCTTTGATTAGTGGTTGCAACAGATATTGTGAAGGAATCTCCATGGCCTTCTATCTTGCGTTCGCGAAACACGGCATCAGGGTCTAATTCAGCCATAATTTCTTCTTCATGCCTCTGAGCTAGACATTTAATACAATTCTGATATCAATTTATAAACAAACCTGTTTAAAAAACACATTAACAATTTGTTTAGTCTCAGTGTCTTATGGAATTCTGAATTAATAGCTAGGAGTATGATACTGAAGTGTTGCTCATATTAATGTTGGGCCAAATTACAATCCTGAACCTTATGAAGATTTGAAAAATGATTGCCTAACATATTAAGCAATTTTATGATTTAAAATTTGTATCAGCCATGAGTGTCACTTTTTTGTATAAGCAGAAGTGGAGATACTTAATTTATTCAAACTGAAATATTTAATGAAACACTGTGAATTATTTGTTAATACTTTTGCTAGCTCTTCCACCTACATAATTACACATACAAAATAATAAATATGTGCCTCTTCTAGTCTTCATCAAACACAGCAACTCATCAGTTTAATGGACTTTAAATTAATAGACTTCAAATATAGGAAGCAAAATCCTCTGTGTCAACTGATTCAGAAACAACTGACAGTCACACCACATATTAAGAGCAATGTGTGGTGTGAATATTATGTAGAGAATAGAGAAACCATGGTTGTTTAATATATTTATAGATGGGGTTGTAAAAGCAGTAAATGCTAGGGTGTTCGGGAGAGGGGTGGGATTAAATTATAGGGAATCAAATTCAAAATGCAAATTGACACAGTTACTTTTTGCTGATGATACTGTGCTTATGGGAGATTCTAAAGAAAAATTGCAAAGGTTAGTGGATGAGTTTAAGAATGTGTGTAAAGGTAGAAAGTTGAAAGTGAACATAGAAAAGAGTAAGGTGATGAGGGTATCAAATGATTTAGATAAAGAAAAATTGGATATCAAATTGGGGAGGAGGAGTATGGAAGAAGTAAATGTTTTCAGATACTTGGGAGTTGACGTGTCGGCGGATGGATTTATGAAGGATGAGGTTAATCATAGAATTGATGAGGGAAAAAAGGTGAGTGGTGCATTGAGGTATATGTGGAGTCAAAAAACATTATCTATAGAGGCAAAGAAGGGAATGTATGAAAGTATAGTAGTACCAACACTCTTATATGGATGTGAAGCTTGGGTGGTAAATGCAACAGCGAGGAGACGGTTGGAGACAGTGGAGATGTCCTGTCTAAGGGCAATGTGTGGTGTAAATACATGTATTATGTAGAAAATTCGGAGTGTGGAAATTAGGAAACGGTGTGGAGTTAATAAAAGTATTAGTCAGAGGGCAGAAGAGGGGTTGTTGAGGTAGTTTGGTCATTTAGAGAGAATGGATCAAAGTAGAATGACATGGAAAGCATATAAATCTATAGGGGAAGGAAGGAGGGGTAGGGGTCGTCCTCGAAAGGGTTGGAGAGAGGGGGTAAAGGAGGTTTTGTGGGCGAGGGGCTTAGACTTCCAGCAAGTGTGCGTGAGCGTGTTAGATAGGAGTGAATGGAGACGAATGGTACTTGGGACTTGACGATCTGTTGGAGTGTGAGCAGGGTAATATTTAGTGAAGGGATTCAGGGAAACCGGTTATTTTCATATAGTCGGACTTGAGTCCTGGAAATGGGAAGTACAATGCCTGCACTTTAAAGGAGGGGTTTGGGATATTGGCAGTTTGGAGGGATATGTTGTGTATCTTTATATGTATATGCTTCTAAACTGTTGTATTCTGTGCACCTCTGCAAAAACAGTGATAATTTGTGAGTGAGGTGAAAGTATTGAATGATGATGAAAGTATTTTCTTTTTGGGGATTTTCTTTCTTTTTTGGGTCACCCTGCCTCAGTGGGAGATGGCCGACTTGTTAAAAAAAAAAAAAATAGAAACCCAGACTTTAACCCTTTGAGGGTTTCGGCCGTACTAGTACGGCTTACGACCCAGGGTTTTTGACGTACTAGTACGCCTAAATTCTAGCGCCCTCAAATCTAGTGGGAGAAAGCTGGTAGGCCTACATATGAAAGAATGGGTCTATGTGGTCAGTGTGCACAGTATAAAAAAAAGTCCTGCAGCACACAGTGCATAATGAGAAAAAATAAACTTTGACCGTTTTTTGGGAATAAAACAGCGACTTTGCACTGTATTTTCGTATGGTATTTATTATCGTATTCTAGTTTTCTTGGTCTCATTTTATAGAATGGAAGACGTATTACAGAAATTGAGATGATTTTGACTGGTTTTACAATGAAAAGTACCTTGAAATTGAGCTCAAAGTAGCAGAAATGTTCGATTTTTACCAAAGTTCAAAAGTAAACAAATCATGCCAAGCATCCAATACACGTCAACTGGTGAGTCTAATATTCTTTCACAAGTGCGTCAATATTATTTATACCATTTTTTACACTAATGCAGTAGTCTGCATAACAGTAAATCTTCTATTTTTTGTGAGAATAAAAATTCAAAGTGGAAAGCAAAAGAATGTAAGAGGGGCCTTGAGATGTGACTAATGAACAAAGGGAATGTCATTTTAGTGCCAGGAATGTCTTTCCTGTTTATTCTAGACCCTATTCGGAAATTGGCATCTTATGAAATTTGTGTGAAATTGGCAAAATTGCTAAATTCTGACCACTGTACTGGATAGTTAAAATTAGTAAATGGGTGGTTTCTTGTACTCATTCGATAGAAAAAATTGAGTTCTAGCGAAATATTCATGTTTTTTGTCGACTAGTGCAATGGAATTGGCCGAAAATGGGGCACAAAGTGGGCAAAATCGCTGATGCGTAAACATCGCCGAGACTGCTAACTTTGCGAGAGCATAATTCCGTAAGTTTTCCATCAAATTTCATAATTTTGGTGTCATTATGATCGGGAAAAGATTCTCTATCTTTTCACAAGAAAAAATAATTTTTTTTTTTTAAATTTGGCCGACCCTGAGAACGAGTCTCGGAGAGGGCCTGTCGACCCTCAAAGGGTTAAAAGATGGTGTGGGGTTATGAAAGGTACACAGGTAGGCCCTGCTTTACAGCACTTTACTTTAAGACATTTCACTAAAGCAGTGGTTCTCAGTTATACACATTCTTCATTTATTCAGACTTCCTACAATAAATATATCCACCACTCACTTATAAACTAAGGATGAAAATATTTTAAGGTAAGTAATTTGTGTACTGTATATGTATTTTTTAGGCCTAGTTCTATTGCTCACTTAATATATGATAGTGTAAACATGTTATTGGGCTTTTATAAGAATTTGAAAGTGGAAAAAGGCTATATTTCACCTTACAGCTATTTTCGCTTTGATGGAAAGTTTAAGTTGTAGGGGCTTGAACATCCAGCATGAGATAGCACATTAGATTGGAGTGAGTTTAGATATAATTTTTAGGGTTGGAAGTGATATTATATGAACAAGGTAACAATTATGAGGGGATTGAGTGAAACTGGTTAGCTGGACTTAAGAGTCCTGAAGGTAGGGTGTACAGTGCCTACAGTCTGGAATAGGGGTGAGGATGTTATAGTTGGGAAGGTTATTTACACTGTGATGTCTGTGTAATTCTGGCAAGACAGGTACTGAATGAATGATGATTAAAGTGTTTCATTTTTGGGCCACCTGCCTTGAAGGGAGATGGAGTAAAAAAAAAAAAAGACTTCTATATAGTAAATTTATATTGAGTGGCTTTTTGATACCGGCTATTTTAAAATGTAATGTAATTTGTCTAATAGAATTTCATACTGTACAAAAACATTTCTCCTGCACATTTCTCATGCCACGGCAATTCCAAGTGAGTGACTTGTAAAAAACTCGAATTTTGTAACAAAAATGGAACACAGTAAAGTGTAACAGATAAAGCCAATGAGAACAAAGTAGTCTATGACTGAAAGATTTATTATATTTTATTTATTATCACACTGGCCGATTCCCACCAAGGCAGGGTGGCCCGAAAAAGAAAAACTTTCACCATCATTCACTCCATCACTGTCTTGCCAGAAGGGTGCTTTACACTACAGTTTTTAAACTGCAACATTAACACCCCTCCTTCAGAGTGCAGGCACTGTACTTTCCATCTCCAGGACTCAAGTCCGGCCTGCCGGTTTCCCTGAACCCCTTCATAAATGTTACTTCGCTCACACTCCAACAGCACGTCAAGTATTAAAAACCATTTGTCTCCATTCACTCCTATCAAACACGCTCACGCATGCCTGTTGGAAGTCCAAGCCCCTCGCACACAAAACCTCCTTTACCCCCTCCCTCCAACCTTTCCTAGGTCGACCCCTACCCCGCCTTCCTTCCACTACAGACTGATACACTCTTGAAGTCATTCTGTTTCGCTCCATTCTCTCTACATGTCCGAACCACCTCAACAACCCTTCCTCAGCCCTCTGGACAACAGTTTTGGTAATCCCGCACCTCCTCCTAACTTCCAAACTACGAATTCTCTGCATTATATTCACACCACACATTGCCCTCAGACATGACATCTCCACTGCCTCCAGCCTTCTCCTCGCTGCAACATTCATCACCCATGCTTCACACCCACATAAGAGCGTTGGTAAAACTATACTCTCATACATTCCCCTCTTTGCCTCCAAGGACAAAGTTCTTTGTCTCCACAGACTCCTAAGTGCACCACTCACTCTTTTCCCCTCATCAATTCTATGATTCACCTCATCTTTCATAGACCCATCCGCTGACACGTCCACTCCCAAATATCTGAATACATTCACCTCCTCCATACTCTCTCCCTCCAATCTGATATTCAATCTTTCATCACCTAATCTTTTTGTTATCCTCATAACCTTACTCTTTCCTGTATTCACCTTTAATTTTCTTCTTTTGCACACCCTACCAAATTCATCCACCAATCTCTGCAACTTCTCTTCAGAATCTCCCAAGAGCACAGTGTCATCAGCAAAGAGCAGCTGTGACAACTCCCACTTTGCATGTGATTCTTTATCTTTTAACTCCACGCCTCTTGCCAAGACCCTCGCATTTGCTTCTCTTACAACCCCATCTATAAATATATTAAACAACCACGGTGACATCACACATCCTTGTCTAAGGCCTACTTGTACTAGGAAATAATT